TTTACACTCATCAGAGATGATGGAGTGCGGCTTTTAAAAGCTGTGACTTCATGACTCCAGCTAAGATATGAGAGAGAGAGAAAGAGAGAGAGAGAGAGAGATCTGCTTTTCCTCTTAGTCTGTTTCCTGGGTCTGTTGTGCATCACTCTACCAAATGTGTGTGTGTGTGTGTGTGTGTGTGTGTGTGTGTGTGTGTGTGTATCCTGAAACCCCAAACTGTTTCAGACACCCAGTTTAATTCTCAAATTAACAACTGTGTCTTTTTTACATGTAAATTAACCAAAGTCAATCTATTCTTTCTGCGAAGACTGTGAAAACAGGCCCAGCAAAAAAAGAACCAAGTCTAAGTGAATCAGCACGTGGACAAATAGTGTCCACTGTGAAACCTGCAGAAAGTGATGTTTACAACATGTGCACACACACTATTTGGCTCTTTCTACTGAATTGGATCAAAGTCAGAGTTAAAAAAAACCCACTTCAGATGTTTTTAACTTGGATCAGTTGAAAAGGTAGACTAAAAATTCTTTAGCACTGAGTGACCGTATATCTTATTTATGTTTATTGCATTAAAACATATAAGTAAACATTCAATTTTGTCACCAATAAAACAATCAAAACACTACCAAATCTTTACCAAATGTTTCTGTTTCGGTAGTGACCATTTTAGCTGATTTTGAGACTTAAAATGCTAACGATGCTAACATCACGAGCAAACACAGCTCTTGTTTTTGCAGTTGTGCACACATAAAATCATAAAAAATTTTATTAGAACACAAAAAAGTTGCCTTAATAACTTAATAATTTGTGTTTCGGTAGTGACAGTGTTCTTAATGTTACTCTGGTATGCGCTCGTCCCCTGGGCCTCGATGGCGGCCGCGAGAGCCGGCAGGAAGGCAAGGCCCGAACTCCGAGCCCAGAAGAAACCCTGCAAAGACAGCGGGGAGAGGATGAAGTCTGCAAGGGAGTCTGGGGCGGCGTGCGAGTCCCGAGCCCTGCCTCTCGGGCACGTTTGATCCCGGTGGCCGAGCCGCAGAGCAGCGAGCTCTCTTTCCCTCTCGGCCCAGGGAAAAGAGAGGGAGCAGAGAAGGAGGGAGGGACGAGCAGCAGCAGACTGAAGAGCCGAAAAACTTCGTTTTGGAGAAATGGACTTAAGCCTAGTTAAGAACCCACTGAAAAGTGGGCAGCTTTGGTTTTGGATTGGTTTGTTTTGTGTTTGTTTGGAGAGAAAATAAAGAATAATGGCTGCTTCAACTCCGAACGCTGCCTCCTTGAGCCCGGGATAGCAGGGCATTCTGGGACACATTTACTTTAATACAATGGGATCTAATGTTCACCATGTGGCCATGAGGGACAGGGATGCAGCCTCACCCCCTGCTCTAAAATGCAGGGGTGTGGCTAAATAAGGCTCCGCCTATGGAATGAATCTTGTGTTGTGTTTTTTTTAATTAAATTCATCATAAATCTAAATCTTTATCTTCACTTTACAAGAAATTACAATGATGTTGTAAAGTTAGAGGCATCGGGTCAGATTTCACTGTAATTCTTGGCCCATGTCATTTACCTTTTCTTACATCATGTGTCTTAATATTAACGTCACATGCACAGGCTTCATGTTTAGCACTGATGAATGATGACAACAGCAGATAATCCACTTACATCTTCAGAAGAAACATCACCAAGTTTTGACAAGTTTTGAGTTCTTTTTGAATACTCTTTCAATGCACTCGCAATCACTGGATTCATCCACTCGGTAGGGTCTGAAGCATAACCGGCATTGCAAAATGTTCTTCTGCATGTTGCGTGCAATAACACAGTTCCACCAGAGAGGTCTCCAAATCCCCAAATCTTACATAGTGCCACTTTAAATACTATAAATATCCATTAAATATTGCTTGTATTCAGATTGCTATGCAGTTGTTTAAGGATTTAATGCTTTAATCAGTACAAATAGACCTTCAAGCACCCTTTAAGAATGGCAGTAGAGGTAAACAAACAATTACACATAGTTTTTGATTAAAGAAAGCACTGCAGAAGCTCTCAGAATGAGCAGAAAACACTCGTTAAACGAATATTTCACACTGGTGGTGGTCTTTTTTGACTCATGGGTGCAACTGAAGTGGAATGTGAAAGCATGGTCAGCGTCTCGGCCCATTCTTGAACCTCCCTTTTTTTTTTCCAAGCGGTCGTCAGGTCAAACCGACCTTCATACACGCCTCCATGACATCGATACGTTTGTTACCAGGCAACAGAAGAAATGAAACATCTCCCGCTGCACGAAAAAACGAACGCTCTGCATGCGGGCTAATGTTACAGCTCAATCACCATTTTTAGTTCAGGTTTAGCAAGAAACATCTGCCTTAATTGAAGACTTAAAGGCGGCACATGCATACCGACACACATCCACAACAATTTCCCTCCGGAGCCAGAAACACTTGGGTTTGTTCGCTGTTGACATTGCGGAGTTCTGGAAAAGTCATCTGCTACCCAAGCTCTCCAATCTATACACCCTTTAAATCACACACACACACACCCATATACACCACTCCAACCCACGTACACACACACACACAGGCCAGTCTACGAGTTCGAGGTAAAAAAAACCCCAAAAGCAACAGTTTGACAGGCGCAGTGTGGCTGTTCCACAATAATAGGGTTGATTTACAGTTGGGAGAGTTTTGCGAACCCTTTGGATTTATCTGGATTTCTGTGCGAACTGCTCAGAAAGTGTGGTCCGGTCTTTATCTGGTCTTCTTCCAAGTCATAACAAACAACCCATAAAATGTTTTACTTCACACACTTACAGAGCAATGCTTTTCTCAGAGCCACATTTGAACTGAACAAATGCTTAATCCCAACTGCAAGGCCCAAGATATGGCGGCCGGCAATCACCTCACCACCATTACCAAAGGTGTACAAGTTTTAATATCAAATTCAAAATTAATGTTCAAAGCAGTTTATTATAGTTTCTGTGATAAATCCAGAGAGAGTCGCATTTGGTTGTTTTTCTATCAGAAAAAGAAAACCTATTTTACCTATTTTTATAAAAAGCGTTCATTTTTCTTGTTTTCTCTGGAAGAAAAAAGCAAGCCACTGGTAGAGGTGGGCGATATGGCAGAAATATATCGCGACACCTTTTTCACGGTACGCGATATATCACGATATTTATTTTTTTCAGACAACTGATCAGTTGGAACAGAGAAAAAGAGCCGGGGATTTTTCAAAATACTATCAAAAACTGGTTTTTATTCAATATTTGGCACTAAATTCAGACAGAGGTCAGGCTGTCGAGTTTCTGTTTCTAACTGTCTGCATTAGAGATCTTATTTGAAAGGATAATGAGGAGGCTGAAGTTGGCTTTCCTATTCAATTTCTTTGCTCTACCTTAAAAGATGCAGCGGTTATATTCTGGCACTTGGTGCAATTTAATCATTATTTCTGCCCTGAAAATATTGTGCTATTTTTGTCGTGATAGCAAAATTATTTTTAGATATTGTTTAAGTCTACGTCATAGCACTAAAAGAACACCAGGAAGAGAGTCTAGCTCAAGGGTCGGCTACCCAAATGTTAAGAAGAGCCATTTTGTATGTGCTAATGTACATATAGGCTGAAAATATAATATAAACGAAAACGCAGACTGATTTTCATGCATCTCCAGCAGGAAACTCTTCCACAAGTAGAACAGTTTCTTGTAAAATGTCTCTCAACGTTCAACCTTAACTGAAAAACTGGAACTGAAAAAATTTGAACAAGAAGCTGGTGAATAAGAAGCTGCAGCTTTCTCATTGCAGATTAAACGTATCAGGAAACCAGCTGGAGTGATTATAAATACAAAAAACTCAATTCGTCTCCAAAATAACGATGTTCATCTTAAATCTTTCTCTTTGCCTTTGTTAGCTACTAGCTAGGCGAGATTGTTGTCTGCATTGCTATGGTGACCAGCAGTCTGCGTGCCAACCTTCAGGGTTAAAGGGTGAATTAGCGGTTCTACATTAACTCCAGAGTTTAAGACCATTTATTGTTAAACTGTGTTGAACGATCAGCAGAGCTTTATTTTACTGTAAAGGAGGATTATTTTATTTTTACCTACAAATCTGATTCTGCTGTGGAGCCGCAACAGGACAGTAAAAGAGCCCATCATCGCACCTTCATTAAGCATTAGATTGGTTTAGAACTTTCAATCTCAGTTCCCAACCCAATACGTCTACTCTCTCTCACATTTAGGCCAAATTCCTTTATGGTTGCCTCCAGGTGTTTATCCTAGTTAGTAGATCTGACCCTGCGGGACTACTTTAGATGAAGATCACATCATTTTAGGAGCCATTCCTGCAAAAAATCCAGATAATTCCAAAAGGTTTGTACACTTTGTGAACCAAGTAGGGAACAATGTATTCCCTGTACTGCATTCCGTATTCTTATTATGCGGGCAGGCCACCGTGCAAAAGCTTCAGTTACGGATACAACCCAACCAGCAAAACAATGACCCAGCAAACAGACCTGCGAGATCTGAAGCTAACACCTTCCAGACAAGCTCTCAGCAAACCATACAGAGGACTGTGTGTGTGTTGAATGCAGCGGTTCATGGTCACATGAGCAGATGTATAAAATTCTACTTTTGTACTGGACTAATTGCTTTGACGGCAAAAGGGGGGAAAAAAAAGGCAACCATGAAAAACAATGGAAAATAGGACAACATCTGTAGCTCTTTGAAGCAGCGTCACAATCAAAACAGGAACAAAATATTAGAAAAGCTCAAATCAAAACCACATCTCGCAGCTCGAACTGCAGGAAACAGGCTCGGCGGAGAACAGAGACGGCCTTATTCATCCACCCCACACGCTTCTAAAGAGACTGGCTGGATATCCAACCTGGATTCCTGAACCCTCCGCTCTGTCTCATCTCTGCGGCTTACGTCCACACCAAAGCATGATTACATTACCAGAAATGTTCACAAGCAATACGGAGTGCGAATGAGAAGGTATGACTGCCCCCCCCCCACTCACCGGGGTACTGGTTGCCGTCCAGGTCGGAGTCTCCACGCAGGGTGAACCCGAATCCTGCCGGGATTGCAGACGAGGCCCAAGCTCCGCTAAGGACCTGAGAGGCCTTCAGCTTCAGGCCAGAGCGCTGACCATTATAGATAAACACCAGTCCTCTGCGGTCATCACCTGCAAACGGAGCTCCCACTGCCACATCTGAAGAAGAAGAAAGGGGAACAGAATGAAACAACTGAGGTGAAATAAACAACAGAACATATACAGCAATCGCTCTGCCCTCTGGGGTTTAAATGAAGCTCATTACAGGAGCAGATCAGTTAAGATCATATTGTTTATTATTAGGGCCCAAACAGTATAAAAATGATTGTGACAATGTTAAAAAGGAGGACAGTTAATATTTATTTAATATTTATATTTTAGATTTTATATCCCAGCTGTTTTAGTTAAAACAACTTTATTGACTGATATGATTGACAGTTCTTGGTCTTAAACTCAAGCAAACAAAAGAAACTCAGTCTTAAATAATATAAATATTGTAGCTCTGGGGTTTTATTCATGTAATTATTTTGCATGATGACATATTATGGACAGGGGAAAAGAAAAATGGAGAGAGACAGGAGAAAAGGAGAAATAGACAGACGGACACAGGAAAAGGAGAAATGGACAGAGGAAAGGAGAAATGGATAGAAGGACAGAGGAAAGGAGCAGTGGGCAGAGGTACAGAAGAGAAGGAGAAATGGGCAGAGGAAAAGGAGAAATGGACAGAGGGACAGAAGAGAAGGAGAAATGGGCAGAGGGATAGCAGAAAAAGAGAAATGGACAGAGGGATAGACAAAAGGGAGAAATGGATAGAGGAAAGAAATGAATAAAAGGACATAAGAAAAGGAGAAAAGGACAGAGGGACAGAAGGATAAGTGGAGAGAGGAAAGAAGGAAAGGAAAGAGGACGAGAAAAAAGGAAAAATGGATAAAGGGATAGAAGAGAAGTAGAAGTGGATAGAGGAAAGGAGAAATGGATAGAAGGACACAGGAAAAGGAGAAACGGACAGAGGGACAGTGTAAAGGAGAACTGAACAGAAGGACAGAGGAAAGGAGAAATGGACAGAGAGACAGAAGAAAGGGAGAAATGGACAGAGGAAAAGGAGAAATAGACAGAGGAACAGAGGAGAGGAGAACTGGACAGAAAGGACAGACAAAAAGGGGAATGGACAGATGAAAAAAGAAATGGACAGAGGGACAGTGGAAGAGAAGAAATGGACAGAGGGACAGAAGAAAGGAGAACCAGCCAGATTTTCTTTTAAATCCATGCCTCTTCCAAATTTAAATTACATCATGACTTCAGTTTTTGTTTAAGGACACACATTTTAGAAAACCCTATTAGTTATTTAAACCCCTTAAACTTCAAGCGTACTATCCAGTTACTATTCATTTACTATTCAGTAACTATTCAGTTACTATTCAGTTACTATTCAGTTACTACTCAGTTACTATTCAGTTACTACCAGAAATGATTTGCTATCTACCATAAAACTAATATGTAAGCTATGTGGTCATGAGAGTGAGGAAATATCCACATATGTATCCACATATGGTCCTTACGGTTTAATGAGATAAACTGTGTAGTGTAGTGTAGATTGAACTGCTGTTTAGTCAAAGGCCCGGTGTCTGGAAAAATGCCCTCACAGGTTCTAAATCTTCAACTTGCTGTAACATTTTGGGCCATAAATCAACATGTTCCTCTTCCCTATACAATGTCTGGCACAGCTAATGGCATTTGTAATCTATTATTTATAATCGGCATGGCTGGAACTGCTCAGAGAGGATGAGTGTCTGTTTGTAAAAGGAGGGAAGGAAAGTTTAAACGAATACTCAGCTCTACAGAAAGCTCTATGGGGACTGCTCTTCCCTCTGCAGCCCTCAGAGACTATCACACACACACACACGCACACACACACACACACACACACACACACACACACACACACACACACACAAATCCGCTACTGTGTGTGACCAGTATCTATCTCCAAGGCATGGTTATCTCTTTCAAGAGCTCCTCCTGAAAAGCTGCTCAAGTCATTAACCTAGATATAGCAAAAAATGGACAGAGGGACAGAGGAAAAGAAAATGGACCGAGGAAAGAATGGACAGAGAGACAAAGGAAAGGAGAAATAGACACATGAATAGAGAACAGAGCAGGACAGAAGGAAGGAAAATGGACAGAGGGACAGAAGAAAAGAGAGATGGACAGAGGGATGGAGGAAAGAAGAAAAGGACAGAGGGATAGAGGGAAAAAATGGACAGAGGGACAGAGGAAAGGAAAAATGACCAGAGGGACAGATGACAGAAAAAATGGCCAGAGGGACAGAGGAAAGGAAAATGGAGGAGGAAAGAATGGACAGAGGGAGAAAGTGACAGAAGGACAGGAAAGAAAAACAGATAGAGGGACAGGAAAGGAAAATGGGAGAGAAGGACAGAGGAAATAAGAAATGGACAGAATAACAAAGGAAATGAGAAATGGACCAAGGGACAGAGAGAAAGGAGAAACAGACAGAGGGACAGAGGAAATGAGAAATGGACAGAAGGACAGAGGAAATGAGAAATGGACAGAGGGACAGAGGAAATGAGAAATGGGCAGAGAGACAAAAGAAAAACAGAAAATGGACAGAGGGACAGACGAAAGGAGAAACAGACAGAGTGACAGAAGAAAGAAAAGTAAGAGAAAGGGACAGATAGGAGGGCGAGATGAAAGATGAAAGTCCTCTGATCTGAGCTCACTCTACAGCAGGAGGGGGGGGAAGTTTAATTACTTCTAACAAAATAACATCATCACCACAAGAAAGCCCCCATTTCCTTCAACCGGACCACCGTGCAGGCGAGTGTGCGTCGCTGTTTGTCTTGGGCGAGCTACACGCTATAAATAGGCTTGCTTTATGCATGCCACACTTTGGGGTGACTGCCCCGGTCATTTCCGCTTCCTTTCTGGCGACTGCTGTCCTACGGTGGGGCGCTGCAGCTGGCACGGAGCCAAATGACCCTACACAAATTTCAGCCTGACAGTTGACATGGTGACGGGTACTAAAAGAGTTGCTTCATATATGACTGTACACGGACTGTGACTCAGAGAAAGTGATGCAAAAGGTCTGAATTACAGCTAAGACTCGTTTACATTTACACTATACATTCAGTGGCAACTCCTACCTTGTAGCACCACCTTGCTGGTTTACAGATACCAGAAACAGAGGCTGTAGCTCAACTGCTGATGCACAGTTCATGTTAGTCCTCCTCTAGCCCTTCAGCAATGGCCAGTTTCTGACCACAGAGCTGCTCTTGGCTGGTTTCTTTGGGTTACTCGACCTAGCAGGAACAGCTCTGTGCCTGATATACTTGTAGCAGCTGAAAACACACCACTATGTACTAATAAAGTGGCCAGTGAGCTGAAGTACAATGTAGTTGTTTACAATAATGTGGCCAGAAAGTGGAAGCATAAGGTAGGTGTTTCTAATAAAGTGGCCAGCGAGTGGAAGTACAAGGATGGTGTTTCCAATAATGTGGCCAGTGAGTGAAAGCACAAGGTAGGTGTTTCTAATATAGTGGCCAGTTAGTGGAAGCACAAGGTAGGTGTTTCTAATACATTGTCCACAATGTTCATTATTATCAGGATATTTATATAATATTTAACCCGTTTTTTGCTATTAACATAGCAAATATTACACCATATTTAACCATGGAGAATAATTTCGTTCACTGATATTGTTTTTTATTTTTGTTGCATTCTATCTTTAATGTTATTTTAAGTTTCTAAAAAAATGTTTATTCATGGTTCGGGTAAAATTAAAAGTCTTTTTTTCATAGGTGCATTTACCTTAAATTAATGCCTACTGGGTTGAACGACTTTTACAGCTGTTAAGTAAAAATACAGTAAAAATACTGTTTTTAATTACAGCTTATTACTGTAACAGCAGAATACAGCTACATGTTAATCACAGTAATCTCGTGGCCCAGGTGGCTTTTAAGTCAGAGTAAACTGTTGCTATTCTACTGTTATTTACTGTTAATATGGTTCAGTAACACTGTGAAAGTAATGCCAGTAGTAGCCAACAATTTACTGTAATTTTCCATAACTGCAGTGAGGTATCAAGTATCAAGGCAGGACATTGAGTTTGTTAGGCCAGCAGTTTGTTAGCAAGGTTATTGCCTCTGTATCATGGAGTAGTGCACTAGAATGGTATTCCTTCTCTCACATAATAGACAATAAATCTTCAGCCTCTAAAAATCTCCTGTTCTCGTTCGTTTCGTCATTTGTTTCCCCAAGTTGTGCACCAAGTAACTGAGTTGTCTCACGAGTGGACAGTTTCTCAAACATGAATCTTTTAAAAGCTGTCTTGTGCAAATTAAATCTGCACTGACACAACGCATCTCAAGACAGTGATATACGAGTATCCAGCTCGTACAAGCCCAACGATTTGGCTCAAACGGGGAGCGCAAGGAGGATTCTACAGTCAGAGGCCGAGGAAGGCTTTCCGAACCCTTCAACAGACACTGAAACTGCTCACTAAAATGTAATGGGGGGTATCAAGAGGAAGCTCCTGACAGCGTGTACACACATACACACGAGTGCCATTGCTCACTGGCTGCTTGGATGGAAGCTCATTTTTCCTTTGTGAAAGCAGCGAAACAGCAAAAGCAGATGGTAGCAGTGAAGCGCTGGAGCTTGAGGCCCAAGCAAACCCTTTCAGCGGCATCCGTCTTCCAGTCCAAAGACCGCCAGGACTCTTCACTGACTCGCCGTCTCAGAGAAAGAACATCTCTCACAGGGACAGTCCCTGTCAAAAGCGTGTACACACCTTTTTCCGTCTTTAGTTTTGTACAAACTCAATACCTCACACATCCGACTCAAACCATATCAAGGATTTAACCTCTTATTGACCAGGGTATATTTTGGTTTGTCCATCTGAATTTACACGACCAAATCGTAAGGGAAATTATTCAGTAACTGCATGAAATAAATGTACATTTTTAATTAATTTATTTATTTATTTATTTTTTGTAAAAGCTCCCCTCAAATTAACAGAACATGTTTTATGATCACACATATTACTATATGCTTACAATTTGCTGCTGAAAGCCAAAAATCTTAGACGCTCTTTGTATTTTTGTATAAAAATAATTTGTACAGAGCAGATCACTGAAGAGACG